AATTTTTTTACTATCTATATCCCCATGATATAAAAATTTAGAACATAACTTTCCTATGGTATTGTAGATAGACTTAGGAATAATCATCCTTCTAATCCAATACGCCACAGTGTTAATAATGGTATATTTAATGAATTGCAACCTGCCAGCAAATGAGAGTACCCTAGCCTTCCAACCTGAAAGTAACACCGTAATTTTCTCCATAAGAGGAGCAAAATCAGAAAGCTTTGTTCTACTAAAGGATAGAGGAATGCCCAAGTAAGAGAACTTAGTAGAAACATTGTGTATTTGCAACACATTAGAAATGTCATTTGGATTAGAAACATTAGGGGATATAATAATAGAACTTTTTAGTAAGTTCAACTGCAGCCCAGTTAGTTTAGAGAACAATCTAAGGGTTCTCATAAGCTTAGCACAATTATTTGAATCAGCCTTCCCAAATACTAATAGATCATTCGCATAAGGTGAGACAGTTGAAAAATTTCCATTTTGAATCCCTCAAACCCATTAGAATCAGAATTATGATCTAATAGGCAAGAAAGTGCATCCATGACAATACAAAAATAAAAAGGGACTAAGAGGACAACCTTGTCTTAGTCCGGTTGAAGAGGAAAAGAATCCTTCCATCGATCCATCCAGGCAAATTGAGAAATGAATATCATTTATACAAGCTTTGATCCAATTAATAAAAATAGAGGGAAAACCTTTATCATCCATTCTAGCAAAGAGAAACTTCCTGGATACTGTATCAAATGCTTTCATAATATCATATTTAGCACAAAAAAGATCCAGCTTGTAGTTCTTTTTGAAAAGATTAATAATTTCCATAGCCAAGATGGAGTTATCAGAAATAACTCTATTGGGAATAAAAGCTGCTTGATTGATCTCAATGATATCAGGCATAATGTTTTTCATTCGAGCCGCCAAAATTTTTGCAATAATTTTGTGAAAGACATTACACAGAGAAATTGGCCGAAAGTCTTGAAGATTTTCTGCATGAGATATCTTAGGAACAAGTGCAATGGCAGTAGCCTTGGCACTGATAGGTAAATAGCATTTACTAAAAAAGGATTTAATGGCCTTACAGACTAGAGGGCCAGTAATACTCCAAGTTTTTTTTATAGAAATCAAAATTATATCCATCAGGGCCCGACGCCGAGTTAGAACTTCCAGAATTAATAGCTAAACGGATTTCCTCATTAGTGACAGGCTTCACTAATGAATTGATAGCCTCTTCAGAAATAGTTTTACCTTTAGGAATAATACCAACATCATTTATTTCAGGAGGTGCAGAATTGTATAGATTTTGGAAATGCTGGATGATACTTGGAATGTTACTATTCTCTTGATCATAGTTATGTTGAGTAACAGCCACAAGAGAGCTACCATTAAAAGCTTTTCTATTCCTGATCTTGGAATATAGAAACTTCAAATCCTCTTCTCCATTTTTTAGCCAGTTAATTTTTGATCTCTGAATAATCCAAGAAGCATGTAGAGAATTGTAGTAATTGATTTCAGCTGTGATCTTTTTAAGTTCTCCACACAATTCTCTATTAAGCGGATCATTATCAACCATCCTTTGACATCTACTTTGTGTTTCAGCCATGGAAGCACATTTTTTAGCAATAAGATTGGAATTACTCCAATTTCTTGCTTTTATCTCTCTTTTTAAAAGCTTCAGCTTTTTATAAAGTCTGACAATAGGATTCCCTAAATCTAGAGTTTGAAAAATATTCAATAAAATGCTCCAGAAATCCGGAATATGGCTCCAATAGTTTTTATACATAAACCTCTTTTTAGAATTGAAGTTCTGATGATCTCTAAGAATAAGAGGAGTGTGGTTTGATACAAGACTACTCAACACTAGATAGTGAGAGTTAGGATAATGATTAATCCAAGCCTCGTTAACTAATACCCTGTCCAGTTTTAGATGAATAGGATTGTCTAGCCTTTGGTTGAACCTAGTGTGAAAATTGCCGGACGAAGGGAGTTCTAACAGATTATTGTCAAAAATAAAGGAGTTAATCGGATTTAGCCTATCAATAGCTAAGATATTCCCTCCTTTCTTTTCTGACTGAAACCTGCATGTATTAAAGTCACAAATCACCACCCAAGGCAAAGAACCTTGAGGATTAACAACTCCCAAATCAGCCCAAAGCTTATTCCTCTCATCAAAGGAATTAGACGCGTACACAGTAGAAAGAATCATAAGAGATTGAGATCCCATCATCAATTGACCAGAGATCATTTGCGAGGAAGAAAAAAATGGGAATAAAAGAAATTTTATCTGAATTCCATTCAATCCAAATTCGACCTGGAGAAGCCATCTCAAAGTTATTAAAACTTTGTTCATTATCAAAAACCTTGTGAGTAGAACAAAACCAAGGATCCAAGAGATTAGAAGAATTGATACGGTTCTCAAGAATACAAATTAAGTCAAGCCTATGCTCATTAACCAGATTCCTACAGCAGAGAACTTTTTCAGGGTTATTAAAACCCCTGATATTCCAAGCTGCTAAGGATGGAAAAATCATAAGTAACTAGGATTTTTGATAAGGGCCTTTCCGGTTGCCCTTTCCCCTAGTTTGTCTTTGCGAAGAAGGATCAGAAGAATGTAACTTATTAGAAGTCGAAACTTCCAGTTTATCATTTTTATACTTAGCTGTAGATTCTATAGGATCACCCGTATTCTCACCAAGCATAGAAGAGGAGGATTCTGCTTCATTAGCATCTCGAAGGACACTAAATTTGTTAGATGAGAAAATTCTTAAAGCATTTTGTCCTTCAGAACGAACCGTAGAAGCATTAGATGAAGAATTCAAAGAAGTGGGTGAATTGAGATTTGGAATCTTGATGTTAGTCCCTGTCAGAATAGGAGTAGGATCCTTAGACCCCAATAAAGGGCTAGACTCAATATTCAGCGTTGTCTCAATGATCTCATTAATAGATTGAATACCAACCCCATCCTCAGTAATAAGCCCCTTGGTTTTAGCGTAATCCACATGATTAGCTAAAATAATGTTTTGATTAGAATTATCAATAACATTATTATCTAAATTTGGAGCATTAATGTCATCTCTGTTCAAAGAGATATCACCGTTTTTCTCTAACGGATTGGTAGCCAGTTCAGGAATCGTGTTAGAAGAATTGGGTAGAGGAAGAAGACCTTTCGGATTTTGAGAGTGCGGTCTTGGTCTACGGCTCTTGCTTCTTCCCCTGGGTGGGTTAGCTATAGAATTTATATCAGAGTTTGGATTTGCAGAGCAGTTTGAAGATAAATGGTTCAACGATCTACAGTGGGCACATAGGGTAGGGTGCCATTCATATTGGATTTTAAGATTGAAAATCTTGCCATCCACACAGATCGGAATGATTTCAGGAAAAGTCACCGTAGCATCAACTTGGACACAAACTCTAGCTTAAGTTAGTCTAGATTTAGAAGCAGTGAGGGCATCAACAGCTAAAGGATGACCAACTTTAGTAGCTATTTTAGAAATTCCAACAGGGGTCCAGCAACATAAAGGAAGATCGTGAATCTTAAACCAGATCGGAACATAGGTGAGTTCTTCACTAATATGAGAAAAGTGAGGAGTCCATTTTTGAAAGATAAAAGGTTTTCCAAATATAAACCAGGCACCTCTAGATCAGACAAGGTCATAGTCTTCTGCACTTGAGAACTTAAACAGAAAAAAACCGTCACTAAGAGATATAAGTTTCATACTACCTTTGAGATTCCAGAGATTCTTCACAGCAGTAAGAAGCGCCTCATAGTACGGTCTCTTACCAAGAGAATACCCAACCAGTGCAAGATCCCATTCATCCACCGCGTCCACAATATCTTCCGAAGGGAAGTTAATGATTTCTTCTTCAGTCGGCAAGGGAGATATCAGGAACTCACATGCATTGGAAGGGGGACCCGAAAGGATCCGATCCCAAGAGCGTGGGATTTTGTTTCCAACAGCAGATGAAGAGATGATAGGGTTAGAGAGAGGAGGAAAAAAGCATCCTCGTAGACGGAGGGATCCATAGGATCCCTCCAGCCGCCTTACCGGAGAAGCACGAAACGAATCGCCAAAA